AAAAAAAAAAAAAAAAAAAAAAAAAAGAGTTTGAAATGTTGAGAATTAAATGAGGCACATGCAAGTAACAGGCATTGGGGTTTGAGGGAGGTGGCCCAAGAGCAGGGCTTAATCCATATGAATAATAATATAATAGCAATACCACTGCTAATGGCTAGCATTTGTTGAACACTGTGTTAGGAAGAATAGTGTCCCCCACTATTCAGAATGTTCCTAACTGAATCCCCAGAACCTGTAAATGTCACCTCAGGTGGCCCTGTTTCATTGCTAGGGCTGCCATAACAAAGTGCACAGACCAGGCCAGGCACAGTGGCTCAGGCCTGCAATCTTAGCACTCTGGGAGGCCAAGGCAGGAGATCACTTGAGGCCAGGAGTTCCAGACCAGCCTGAGCAAGAACAAGACCCCATGTCTACTAAACATAATAGAAAAATCTAGCCAGGTGGAGTAGGTGCCTATGGTCCCAGCTACTTGGGAGGCTGAGGCCGAAGGATCACTTGAGCCCAGGAGTTTGAGGTTGCAATGAGCTGTGATGATGCCACTACACTTTACCCAGGATGACAGAGTGAGATTCTGTCTCAAAAAAAAAAAAAGGTACACATACTGGGTGGTATAAACAACAGAAATTGGTTTCTTCCCAGTTCTGGAGGCTAGAATTCCAAAACAAGGTACTGGCAGGGTTGGTTTCGTTTAAGGCTGCTTTCCTTGTCTTGTAGATAGCCCGCCTTCTCCCCATGACTTTACCTGTCCTTCATGTCCAGATTTCCTCCCCTTACAAGGATATTAGTAACAGTGGATTAGAGCCCCCTCTAATGATCTTGATTTTAACTTAATTAGGTCTTTAAAGATCCTGTCTCCACATTCTGAGATGCTAGGAGGACTTCAACATATGAATTTGGGTTGGGGAATACTGTGGCAAATGAGACTCTGCAGATATTAAATTAGGAAACCTGAGATGAGATTATTCTGAATTATCTTCATGGGCCAAATGTAATCCCAAGGGTGTTTGAAAGAGGGAGGCAGGAGAGTCAGAGAGATTGGAAGATGTTCCGCTGCTGGCTCTGAAGAGGGAGGAAGGGGCCACAAGCCAAGGAACGCAGGCAACTGCTAGAAGCTGGAAAAATCCAGGGAACAGACTTTGCCCTAGGGCCTCCAGGAGGAACGCAGTCCTGCTGATGTTTTAACATTGGGCTTCTGACCCCCAGAACTGTAGATAATAAAGTTGTATTGCCGTGTCTTTTCAAGCCATTAAGTCTATGGTATTTCGTTACAGCAGCAATAGGTAATAATACCAGCACCTACTGTGTTATCCCATTTAATCCTCACCATAAAGAGGGGCACCACATTTTAAGACTAAGATTAAAAAAAAAACAGAGGGGCACCATTATTATCCCCACAGAAAACTGCAACAGGGAGAGATTGATAATCTCTCAGGGCCAGGTGGCTATATGTGAAGTGACAGAAATGGGCTCTGAACCCCAACAAGCTGGCTCCAGAGCCCACACTCTGAATATTCATACATCTGAGGGATGAATGACTGAGGGTGGGGCTCAAGGCAGCCTGGCTGACCACTCAAGGGCCCCTCAATTCTTCCCCCTCCTCCAGCAGCCATTTGAAGTCACAGTTCACACCTACACGTCCTTCACAAGAGATTGACCTGGACATCCACATGGTGTTTTAGCACCAGCCATGAGCTTTCACTGCTCACACAGCACCAGGAAGGCTCAGCTGCCCAAGAACACACCCCTCCACCTATAGGGTGATTCCTAGATTTCTCACTTTTACTTTTTATCCCTTACGACTCTCTCTACACGCTTCAACCCTTAGAACCACAGAAGACGTGAATCATGGACTTGTGGGAAATTGCAGGACCTAAGAGGTTAGCCCAAGTCCACCTGCCCAGGAGCTGGCATCAGGCCCTCCAGCATTCCCACAAGTCAGAAGCTACCTGTTGGGCGATGCTGTGTCACTGCTGACATCCTGAAGCCAGCATGGTGCAGTTTCCCTGCTCAGGCTGCCCTCTGCCTGCCCCCCATAAAACATCTGTTTTCTATTCTTTGTTGGGAACAAATTGTCCCTAAAGCCCAGGGCAGTAGGGTGAGGAGCCCTTTGCTGGGCTGTGCTCTGTGTCCCAAACACACTGTACTCATTAAGCCCACAGCTCTCTGCTTATTTTACTTTTAAAGAATAATAACTAGTGTGGCTTTGTATTTGCTCAGCCCAAAGACCTCTCTCCTCCCCTCCTTTCATTCAAATCCCCCTTCACGTGATCCCAGGAGATTAGTCTTTCAAAATAAAAGCAAAGCTCTTATAAAATGAAGATATTATTTACATACAGTAAAATTCACTTATTTTAAGTGTACAGTTAGACGAGTGTATATAATCATGTGACCATGTGTCAAGTATTTCTGCTGCGGATATGGTATCCCTGGTGCCCTTGCCAGTCAGTCCCTCTCACCCACAGCCCCAGGTGGCCAGTGATCTACTTTCCATCACTACAATTTGGCCTTTTCTAGACTCTCCAAAGAATGGACTCAAGTAGTGTGTAGCCTTTTGTGTTTGACCTGTTTCATTTAGAGCAATGATTTTGAGGTCCGTTCATGTTGTTGTTTATATAAGCATTTAATTCCATTTGATGGCCAAGTAGCGTCCTATAGTACGGATTCACCACAGTTGGATCGTCCTTTCACCAGTTGGTGACATCAAGGTTGCTTCCAGTTTGGGCTATTATGAATAAAGCTGCTATGAACGTTCACATGTACATTTCTACATGGACATGGGCTTTACTTTCTCTTGGGCAAGCTTCCTGGAGGAGAATATATGGATTGTACAGTAACTTTGTAATTATGGTGTATGAGTAAGTTACTTTATAAATATGGTTTAACTGCGTAAGATACTTCCATAGATTTTTCCATTTTGCAGTAACACAGGAGACTTCTCACTCTCCATCCTCACCAAGACTTGGTATTGTCACTCTTTTTAATTTTAGTCATTTTGGTGGGTGGATAGTGGTATTTCATTGTTGCTGGTGGAATTTACATTTCTCTGATGACTAGTGATGTTGACTTGTCAACGTCCATAGGCTTGTCATTCACGTATCTCCTTTTGTAAAGCATCTTCTCAGTATTTCGCCTGTTTTTGATTAGGTTGTTTGTCTTATTATCAGGTTGTGAGGGTTCTTTACAGATTCTGGGCACAAGCCCTTTTGTAGGTACTGTTGTAAATCACATAATGATGTTTTGGTCAACAACAGACCACATATACGAGGATGGCCCCAGAAGATTATAATGCCATATTTTTACAGTACCTTTTCTGTGCTTTGATACACAGGTCCTTACCATTGTGCTTCAGTTGTTCACTATTCAGGGCAGTAACATGCTGTGCAGGTTTGTAGCCCAGAAGCAATAGGTTATATCATATAACAGCCTCGGTGTGTAGCAGGTTACCCAGGGGTGGGGAACCTGTGGCCTTCTGATCTCAAGATTGTTTCTTTTCAAGCACCAAAGGAGGCAAGAAAAGTTTCATCTTTCTCTGCTGCATAGCTTTTAATAAAAGGATTTGTTCTGTAAAATTTGGATTCAGTCAAAAGGCTGCACTTAAGGAACTAGAAGGCCCCAGGTACTTAGAAGGTCTGACCATCTAGGTTTACATTCACACAATGAATGAAGACATTTGGTAAACCCTTCAGACCTAAAGATGTTGACAGTAATGTCAAGTTGCTGTTGTTACTGCGATCCTCCTGTGTCCCTGCTATCGGGCTATGCGACATCTGGAAGGGCAGCTGGGCAGGGCAGGCACACCTCAGTCAAGGATAGACGCCTAGGGAGGGGTGCAGGTGGGCATTGTGGGAAAGGGAGTTCCCACGGACTTCAGGAAGATGGAGGCGTTTACTCAGCTTCCGCACTCAGCCATGCTCTGAGTGTCTCGTCTGTGCCAGACACTGCCCTCAGCACTGGCAACACAGCCATGACCCTCACAGAGCCCTCAGACCAGTAGGAGCAACCAAAGAGTGAATGATGATTGTGGAATTGTGTGGAATGCACCTTGACAGGGGAAATAGCAGTGCTACCCAGGATCACAGCAGAGATCCTTTCAATTAAAAGAGTTTCTCTATTTTAAGAGGTCATGGAAGGGTGGAATCAGCCAGGCAGAGGGATCAGCATGTACAAAGTCATGTGGCCCAGTCTAGCTCTCTCCCTGGTGGATCCTGGTGCATTGCAGAGAGCCCTAGGGGTGGACACAAGGATTCCCATAACATCCAGTGACATAGTTACTATTTCCAGGTTCACCCTGAAACGAATGAAGCTGGAGTCGGATGCCCTTTTGCAGGTGTTGGCTGCACCTTCAAGGTAAGTATCTGTGTGTGAGAAAGGAGATCTGTCCACTGCGACTCCAGGCCTCTGGTCTCCCCACTCCAGCCCCTCCAGGATTTTTCCATAATATCAAGAGACTCTTCTGGATGTCCCTCATACTAATGACATTCCCAAGCAACACTTCCATTATTAAGTCGTTGTAGTACTCCAGGGAGTTCTTCTTACCATCTCACCTAAGCATTGGTGTCATCACTAATGTCACCCCACCCTCCATTCCTCTCTCCATGGTCCTGAACCATCTTTGCACTCAAGGGCAGGGCAGGGTTATTGGTCCAGAGATTGAGATGCATGTGGCTCGTCTTGGCATGGCTGATGATAGGGCCCTCCTCATGAATCCCTGTCAGTGCACAGAAACCCCCTTCCCCTTTGCTGGGTGAATGAGGCCCAGTGCTTGGTGACCTACCCCTCCCTGCCCCTCCCTCCACCTCCGTTTTCACTGAGCCCCCCCACTCTCTTGGCAGGGTAACCCACAGTCCATGCAAGAGCATGAGGTCTCCTCCCAGGCCTCCCACCTAAATCTGCTGCTGGGGTTCATAAAACAGTGGAAGACCCAGCAGGGCTCTGGCCTCGGGCTCGCGCCCATGGCCCTGGAGCAGAACCTGTCAGACCTGCAGCTGCAGGAGGACCTGGAGGTGGACTGCTACAGGGCACCCTGCTCAGAGAGCCAGGAGGAACTGGCCCTGCAGCACTTCATGAGGGAGAAACTCCTGGCCGAGCTGGAGGGAAAGCTGAGCGTGTTTGAGAACATTGTTGCTGTCCTCAATAAGGAGGTAGAGGCCTCCCACCTGGCCCTGGCCGCCTCCATCCACCAGAGCCAGCTGGACCGTGAGCGCATCCTGAGCTTGGAACAGAAGGTGAGTACGGGAAGCAGGGTTGCCTTCAATGCTGGCTCAGGAGTCCCATCCTGTCTCCAGAGCAGTGGACAAGCTTTCCTCCTAACTGTGTGTCCTCCTCAGAGTAGCTACTCCGCCATCAAAATGTATCTCCCCTATATCCCAGGACCTTCCAGGAAGAGTACTGAGTCAGAAGCTGTAGGCAAGGTCAGACACCCCAGGCAGAGCTTCAGTTCCTTTGCTTGAACTTCTCCTATCATAGGTCACTCCCTCTCTAGGAGGCTCATTCTGTTGTGAGACACTTTTCACTCTTAGCAAATTCTTCCTTACACTAAACTAAAACCCGCCTCTCTGTATCTGCACTGTTCCTGCCCCTGCCCCTCAGAGAGGGAGAGTCGGGGGTTATATCCTACCTGAGATTTCCTTCTTTAGGCTCAAAGCCCCAGTGCCTCCACCCATCCATCAGACCACATTATTTTATGTTGGCCTCGTATGCTCTGGCTCAGAATCTGAACGATTCTTTATGCTTGGAGTGTGGTCCCAGACTGACTCCAGATAATCCACGTATGTGACAATTCTTGGTCCAACAGGACTGTCTCCTCCTTTATTCCAGAGCTTATACTTTTCTGGGTTTTTTAAAAAATGTTTTTGATATGTAGTATTTTACATATTTATGGTACAGGTGATACTTTGATGATAGTGTAGAATGTGTAATGATCAAGTCTGGGAATTTGAGGGGTCCATCACTTTGAGTATTTGCCATTTCTGTGTGTTGGGAACAATTCAGATCCTCTCTTCCAGTTATTCTGAAATCTATAATACATTGGTGTTAACTACAGTCACTACTCTGCTGTTGAATGATAGATCTTATTGTTTTTATCTAAATGGATATTTATACCTGCTAACCCATCTCTCCTCATCCTTCTCTCCCACCCAACCACTTCTAATATCTATCATTCTACTCTCTATCTTTATGAAATCAACTTTTTGAGCTCCCACATATGAGTGAGAACATATGACATTTGCCTTTTTGAACCTGGGTTGTTTCACTTACTGTAATGACCTCCAGTTCCATCCATCTTGCTGCAAATGAGAGGATCTCTTTTTCATGACTGAATAGTATTCCACCATGTATACACACAACATTTTCTTTCCTTTTTTTTTTTTTTTTAATATCAGTTTGTTAAAAAACATGCCACATTTTCATAATCTGTCCATCCACCTATGGACACTTAGGCTGGTTCCTTGTCTTTGCTGTTGTGAATAGTGGTACAGTAAATGTGCAGTGCAGGTGTCCCTTTGATGGACTGATTCCTTTTCCTTTGGATAAATACCCAGTAGTGTGATTGCTAGATTGCATGTTAGTTCTAACTTTAGCTTTAAGAGAAATCTGCATACTGTTTTCCATAATTGTTGTACTAATTGACATTCCCAGCAATAGCGTGTAAGAGTTCCCTTTTGGGCTCGGCGCCTGTGGCTCAACCGGCTAAGGCGCCAGCCACGTACACCTAGGGTGGCGGGTTCGAATCCCCAGCCCGGACCTGCCAAACAACAATGACGGCTGCAACCAAAAAATAGCCGGGCGTTGTGGCGGGCGCCTGTGGTCCCAGCTACTTGGGAGGCGGAGGCAGGAGACTCGCTTGAGCCCAGGAGTTGGAGGTTGCTGTGAGCTGTAATGCCACGGCACTCTACCCAGGGGGACAGCTTGAGGCTCTGTCTCAAAAAAAAAAAAAAAAAGAGTTCCCTTTTGACGAGGTACAGTGGCTCATTCATGTCTGTGTTTTGGGAGGCCAAGGCAGGAGGATAGCTTGAGACCAGGAGTTCGATACCAGCCTGGGCAGTATAAGGAATCCCCATGTCCACCTAAAAAAATTTTTTTTAATTAGCCAGCTGTGGTAGCACACACCTGTGGTCCTAGCTACTTGGGAAGGAGGATTGTTTGAGTTGAGCTATATGATCAGACTACTGCACTCCAGGTTGGGTAACAGAGTAAGACCTTGTTTTTGGAGAAAAAAAAAAAAAAGAGTTCTCTTTTCTCCACATCCTCACCAGCACCTGTTACTTTTTGTCTTTTTAATAATAGCTATTCTAACTGGGGTAAGATGGCATCTCATCATGGTTGTAATTTGCATTTTCCTGATGATTAGTGATGTTGAACATTTTTCATATATCTGTTGGCCATTTGTATATCTTCTTTTGAGAATTATCTATTCATGTCCTTTGCCTACTTTTTAATTGGATTATTTAGGTTTTTATTGTTAAATTATTATTATTATTTTCATACACATGTGTTTATTAGGTTTCCACATTTTGCCTTCACAAAATTAAAAAGGCTTAAAATTTAACAACAATAACAATGTTTAAGATAAGGACTAGAAACAAAAACCTCATAAATAATGAATGAAGATAAATACATTCAGAAAAGAAATTAGACAATCGTTGCAACAAAGTATTGAGAAATAACAATAGTAGTAATGCAAAGAAAATAACATTCACATTGTCAAATAAGAGTATGTCTATTATAGATTGCTTTGACTCTGAGGTTCGGCATGGAGTCATCAATTAACTTCTTCTTATTATTTTTTTCCCACAGTCTCAAAAAATAGACAACTAATATTTATTAAAAAAAAAAGATAATTTCAAAAAACAGATCATGCCAAATCTTATAGATAAAAGAAAAAAAAGAAATACTTCAAAATCATTCTGCTTAATCTGGATACACCTGATATTAAAATTGGAAAAACATTATTATAAAGGGGAAATTACAAACATAATTCACTTTTAAATGAGGATGCAGTATCCTGTATCCTAAACAACATATTAACAAGTTGAAGTAAATATTGTTAAATTGAGTTCCCTTTATTTTCTTGACGTAAGTCCCTTGCCACATGAATAGTTTGAAAATATTTTCTCCCATCTAACAGGTCGTCTCTTCACTCTGTTGATTATTTCCTTTGCTGTGCAGAAGCTTTTTCATTTAATACAGTCTCATTTGTCAATTTTTGTTTTAGTTGTCTGTGCTTTTAAGGTCTTAGCCATAGAATCTTTGCCAAGATCAACATCCTAGAGTGTTTTCCTTATGTTTTTTTGGAGTAGTTTTATAGTTTCAGGTCTTATCTTTAAGTCTTTATTTCATCTTGAGTTGTTTTTTATATATGGCGAGAGAGAGAGGTCCAGATTCATTCTTCCATGTAGAGATATCCAATTTTCCCAGCACCATTTATTAAAGAGAATGTTCTTTCTCCAGCCCCAGTATGTGACTGGGCACCTTTGTTGAATATCAGCAGGCCATAAATACATAGACTTATTTCTGGGTTCTCTGTTCTGTTGCATTGGGGGGTTTTGTTTGTTTGTTTTTGCAGTTTTTGGCTGGGGCTGGGTTTGAACCCACCACCTCCAGCATATGGGGCCAGTGCTCTACTCCTTTGAGCCATAGGCTTTGCCCCTTATGAGTCTATTTTTTTAGCAATACTAAGCTGTTTTGGTTACTATAGTCTTGTAATGTATTTTGAAGTCAGGTTGTGTGATACCTTCTCAGGATCTTTTATGATTCCATACACATTTGGGGTTTTTTTTTTCTATTTCTATGAAAAATGGCATTGGTGTTTTGCTGTCATTGTTGTTTTTGTTTGCTTGTTTTTGAGACAAAGTCTTGCTCTGTTGGCTGGGCTAGAGTATAGTGGCATCATCATAGCTCACACCAACCTCAATCTCTCGGGCTCAAACAATCTTCCTACATCCTATTATAGGCATGCACCACCATGCCTGGCTGATTTTTCTATTTTTTTGTAGAGATGGGGTCTTGCTATATTTTCTAAGCTAATCTTGAATTCTCAGCCTCAGGCAATCCTCCTGCCTAAGCCTTCCAAAGCACTGGGATTATAGGCATGAGCCACTATGCCTGGCTGACATTGGTATTTTGACAGGGATTGTCTTGAATCTGTATACTGTTTGGGACACTTTGGTCATTTTAATGATATTAAGTCTTCCAATTCATGAGCACAGGATGTCTTTCCATTTGTTTGTGTCTCTTCAATCACTTTCATCAGTGTTCTATTGTGTTCCTTGTAGAGGTCTTTCACCTCCTTGGTTAAATTTATTCCTAGGATTTTATGGGGATTGGAGGTAGGTTTGTTTCATTGGGGGTTTTTTTTGTAGTTATTATACATAAGATTGTCTCCTTCATTTCTTTTTCAGCTATATTGTATAAAAATACTACTGATTTTTGTATGTTGATTTATATCCTGCGTCTTTGTAAATTTGTTCATCAGCTCTAAGGGATTTTTGGTAGAGTCTCTGGATTTTGTAAATATAAGATCATGTCATCTGCACAGAACGACAATCTGGTCTCCTCCTCTCCATTTTGGATGCCTTTTATCTCTTTCTCCTAACTGACTGCGGAGTGCACACTCTTCCTCGTGTAGCCAGTCTCTACTCGCAGCTGCTTTGTTTGCAGCAAGGTTACATCAGTGTCTGGACTGAGTCAGGCCTGGCTTTTAGTTCCAGCTCCACTATAAACCTGCGATGTAGGTCTGGGAAAATCACTTTCCCTCTCAGGGCCCCAGCTTTCTCCTCAGTAGAATTAATGATTTCTTTAAAGACACTCACTTCTGTTCCTGGCTTCCTACCTTACACCCGAGAGTAAATTTGTATTCTTTCAAGTTTCACTGGGGAGAACTGGGTTCAAGGGTCTGAATAACAGGCTTTTTTTTTTTTTTTTTTT